AAGAGCATACACTTTGGAATTCTGTAAAATGGGGATTATAATAGCTACCTCACAGGTTTATTATGAAGATAAAGTAAGATAGCATATTTTTAAATAGCCCAGAAGAAATATCAAGCCATGAAAAGACATGGAGGGAACTTAAATGCATATTGTTGAATGGGGGAGGCCAGTCTGAAAAGGCTACTACTGGTATGTACTGTATGATTCCAACTAAATAATTTTCTGAAAAAGCCAAAGCTATAGAGACATAAAAAGATCGTATCAGTGGTTGCCAGGTGTTGGGAGTGAGGAGAGGGAAGGGATGAATAGGTAGAGAACAGGGGATTTTTAGGACAATGAAACTATTTTGCATGATGCTGTTATGGTGAATACATGATGTTATGCATTTGGCAAAACCTACACAACTGTACAACACAGAATGAACCCTAATGTAAACTATGAACTTTAGCTAATGATAATGTATAAATATTGGTTTGTCAGTTGTAACAAATACATCGCACTACTGCAAGGTGTTAATACGATGTATTCATTTCCTAGGGCTGCCATAACAAAGTACCACAATAGTAATTTATTGGCTTATAACAATAGTAAGTTATTGTTCCACAGTTCTGGAGACCAGAAGTTCAAAATCAAGGCGTCACACTCCCTCTGAAGATGCTTGGGGTTAGGGTTTGTCCCATGTCCCTTTCCCAGCTTCTGGTGGCATCAGGCATTCCTTGTCCTCCATCTTCTCGTGGCATCTCCCCATGTCTTCACATTGTCTCTGTCTGTGTGCGTGTCTGTCTGTCCTTCCCAAACTTCCCCTTCTCATAAGGACGCTGTCATATCGGATTAGGGTCCACCCTAATAACTTCATCTTTACATCTGCAAATACCTTATTTCCAATAAGGTCATATGAAGTGCTGGGGGTTAGGACTCCAACATATATTTTTTGGCTGAAGGGGAGGGGGAGTTGGGGGATGGGAAGACACAATTCAACCAAAATGTAATAGAAAGCGTAGGCAGGGGTTGGGGAGAGGGAGTATAGGAGACCTCTTTGCTTTCTGTTCAGTTTTTTTTCTGCTCTAAGAAATAAAGCCTATTCATTAAAAATTTTAAAGGCTTAGAAAATGGTCTCCCACATAGTACATATTCAATAAATATTAGTTAATTTTGGAGGAAGCTGCATTAACTTATTCAGTGCCCCTAACACCACAGATTTTATTTTTGATGCATTCCAACACCAGTATTGGCACTGCCCAGAAAGTAAATAGAACTTAGCTTTCTCCACATGGCCTTGTCCCCCAATCACTGAGTGCTGGATTAGAGCCACCTGCTCACAAACTTCTCTTGACTGCATGTACACTCGTGTGTGTGCATGTGTGAATACACCTCCCCCACACGCATATACACATCTAAAATGTCTTATCTGCCACTAACCCTGACCCAAACAAAAGCAGAAACAAGACTAGTTCTCCTTACAAAGGAGTCACAGAAAATGTCTATGGTGTCAGTCACATGCCCAGGGGATTGGGGGGGAATCCAACAACTTTTTGAATATCAAACATAATAGTAGATTTCTTGGTTGAAAGACACATATCAGAAATTAAACTCAATTTTTTTAAAGGAAAAGAACCATAAATTAGATGTAATAAATATACTTTAATTCCCAGTATTGGGAGGGAGATAGAAAAGGAAAAAAAAGAAGTGATTGAGAAAGAGAAAAATAAAAAAAGAAGGCAGAAGAAAGGCCATTAAATATTCTATCTTTGAAAGGAAGCAGACGAGGAAAGACAGGGAAGGAAAGGGAAGACAAGAAAGTTCTGGAAGCCAGAAAGTTATGGTAATATACAGGACACACCTCACGTCACATTGTGCCGATCCCCTGGGCCAGGAGTTTGTGGCTTAATTGCCAAAAGGAAGGACAGTATGTTGAGTGACTTGAAATCTGAGATACTAATTTATTCCCTGATTACAGCAGCCCTATTTTAAGAAAATCCAATATATGAGAATCCATATTGAAATGACAGATGTATCAGTAAGTAATGATTTACCTGCCTTTGTAAAGGTTTTTGTCCCACACTTTACAAAAGGAGTCACATCAGAGTCCTGTCAATAGCATGACCACAATCCCCTGAGCACCAAAAAACATTTTCATAAAAATTGTCAAGAACCCATCTGTCACGTACATCCGTGCATCCCTCCTTCATGCTACTCTGCCTATTTGTGACACTCGAGAGCTTTACGATTTATGGAATCTCCCTGCCTTGACATTTCATGCCTTCATTGGTTGGGGGTTTGTTTCCTAACCAATGTTGCTGGAGAGAATTCAGCACTGACTGGGGGTCGGGGAGGAAATGAGGGATTACTGGCTGGGGACATGGAGGCTGCTGCTCCCAAAAGAGGGAAAAAAAAAAAAAAAGAAGCAGCATTTACAATTCTAGCACTTCCCTTACAAAAGAACAGTGCCAGAGAAACTCAGAAAAGCTCTATGATATAAGGGTTCGAGGATAAAGGAAGACCATCAGGCCCATCCTGGGTTGAGACCAACCAAAAGCCATTTGCACAGACACACACACACGACACACACAAATGCACACACACACACACACACACCCCAACCGAGAGCCGTAACACACGGTGCACAGATGTGCTGTTGCACTCTCCTATCCCTCAGCCACACCCGCCCCCATATGCACGAAGCATAACCCAGAATGGCACTGCTGTGTAGACGCGGGAAGTGGCACATGCACACTCTCACTCTCCTTCTCTGTCCCCCTCGGTGTCCCCACGTGGATACTCAGCAGCATTCAGATGATCCGCAGTCTTTCTATGGTTGCAAAAGAAAAAAAAGTGCCCGAGTAAGTAATAAACGGTGAGGAGTAGGAGGAGGGAATAGACGGAAGAAAAAGAATTTGCATGGGTCGGGAGCCAGTGAGGATGGTCAGCCGCTGAGTGTCCACACCGCGTTAGCCAGTTTCACTTCCCTTTGAACACTCCAAGACACTGCCCGGCTCTGCAAGCTTTGTGCGTCTTGGGCCTGCTTGGAGATATTTATTTCACTGCTCATTAGCACCTCTGCCAGAGATACTGGCCGAGAACCCCTGGGGCGTGCTGACAGGCAGCCAGGACGACTCCCTAGCTTTGAGGAGGTGAGAGCAAGAACCAGAGGATTAGAGGATTCTCTCCGGCCTCCTTGGAAAGGAAGAGTAAAATTGTCTGCTTACAGACAGACCGCTTTCTCCCATTGCTGTTTACTGTTGCTATAGTTACAGCAAGAGGGGGGGATTGTTTATACGCGATAAAAGACCTTAGAGAAGAGTCTACTCTCTCAGTGCACCTCCAATTCAAGCACCCAAGTCTGAACCCTACTGTTCACGGGGCTGTCCTCACACACACCCCTGCCCTGTGGTCAGAACAGGAGCCCGGCCCTGGAAGAAAGACCCTCAGATGGCCTCTTAGGGGATCCTCAAGTCATTTTGTTTCATGCTGATAATTATGGAGATATTAGACTGGAAAATATAGACAAATTGCTTTGTGGTTGATGAAATAATAAGAGAAAAAAACTGGTTGTTTCCTTCATAACTAGCAAAGCCCTGGGAAGTACTCTTGCTAAGAGTAAGATAAAAAAAAAAAAACTGGTCAAAAATTTTTAAATCCTAAATAAACACCAAGATTTGAATTTCTAAAGATTTATAAGCAGTATTAATAATACCCTAGAGAATAAGAAAGGGGGAAAACATTCAAACATTGTATAGTTTTGTTTTTGTTGGCTGAGGTTTTGTTTTTGTTTTTGTGGGGTTTTTTTTTTAAAGGGAAAAAAAAACTCCTTGAAAATAAAAGAATTTGACAATTTATTGAAGAAAGTTTCTGAACTCGGCTTCGAAAATGTAAGTTTTGTTTTTTGCTCCTTCAGAAAAAGATGCCATCAGGTGGGATGGCTTTAGATTTTGTACAGCTCCTTATTTTCTTATGCAGGGCAAATGGCTCGTCTCATGTGCACAGAAAGGGCTGGAAAATATTTTTGTGATCCGAGTGCAGCAGAGAGTCTAGGATTCCAGAGGAAGTGGAGGCCTCCCGTTCCGCACAGGAAACAATCTTCAAGCAGGCCTTAAATGCCAGATTCCAAGCCGAGTTTAACTAACCACTGACAGCTCTGTAAACAAAGCAAGGACAAAAAGAGCCAGCTTCCCCTTTTCTGGTAGTCATTTTGGGTTTGGGGGCTGCAGGGGAATTCTGGAATACTTGACTCCATGGCACAGAAACGCAGAGGAAGCCGGCTCCTCATTTGAAGAGCTGGAAGGGGAAGATCTTTCCGGAATTAAAACCATCACAGAGGAGGTAGGAAAGAGTAAAATGGTTGGATTACATCTGTAGAAAGCGCTGGGATTTTTGAGCTCGGAAAACAGCTTGATCACAATGTAACTGCTTTTTAAAATGTTGCCTCATTATTATGTTTATTTATGATGTTATTGCTGCAGTCTTTATTAAAATTCTGATACTTCTTTTAGAATATGCACATTGTATGCCTAGATGCTGCATTATTTTATTTCTCTTTTACTTCTTAGTTCCTGCATATTCCTTTCCTTGCCACTTTCCTTTTTTGTTTGTCACTCTTCTGTTTTTCTCCCCTTTCTTTGTTCACTTTTTCATAATTTTTGTCTGGGGTTCTGCAAGTTACAAAGAACAAAATCATTCAGTAGAATGGCAAGTGATTCTACCAATATATTTCAAGCCTTCAAAACCTCTCTGTCTCCTGAGATCTTCTTCTTTTTTTTTTTTTTTTAAGTAATCCTGGGATGTTTCTTGTCTCTAATCATTTTATGAATGAGCCTGAATTCAGCTCAGCTCAGGAGTCAGAAACTGATCACTGCCTGCCTTATCCACTTGCTAACTTATTTTTCTTAAGAGTAAAAGAAAAATACGGAGATGAAAAAAATGGGGGGAGGGGAAGCGGAGCAATTCATGAGAGCTAATACTCTGAGTCATCTGTGATATCAACTCTACCTTCTCCCCTTCAGATCCAGACATTATCTGGTCTTCCTAAACCTGAAACCTCACCATGGATGATTTTGAACGCCGCAGAGAACTTAGGAGGCAAAAGAGAGAGGAGATGCGGCTTGAAGCAGAAAGGTAAGGATCCCGGTTGAAAAATACTTGCCATTATTAACAATGTTGGTTTCAGGCCTCAAAGACCATTCCTCCCTCTGAGAAGCCAAATGTGATTGTACTCTTACTTGCTTGAAAAAGAAATTATGGAAAATTTTCAGTTAAGGCTCTAAATTCTGCATTACAAAAGGAATATGAACAAATACGCATCAAGAAAAGTATTTAAGAGGAGCCAAATAGTTACATTTGATGAAGACCTTTCATGCTGGAATTTTAAAATGACAAAGGTGATGTGTGAATAAAGGCTTAAAAGGCACATATAATATTGAAATGACAGGAAAATGCCAAATATTAAATGTGGGAACCATTTAGGAAATGAGAGCCTTCAATCTAAAAAAAAAAAAAGTAAAGGCAAAAAGCCACAAAGAAATCTTGTGACAAATGCTTATTCTTATTAGAAAAGCATCCAAATCCAGTGATCTGTATGGTACAGGTTAATGGTCATGGACTGCGTTACTACAGGACTCTGGGTAGAGTGTAAGGTGTCATCTTGCAGTGCGAAGGTGTTATGATGTGTGAGGCCTCTATAGTGGTGACTTTGAGGGCAGGTTGGGAAGATAAAGAAAGCATTGGAGTATGGAACCCACATCATAAATGCATATTTTAAAATCTTTAGGCCTCCGGGCAAAGGGCCGTGGCATTTAATGTAGCTTAAATCTATTGAGAAAGCAGGGTAGGCATTCACAGGAAGAAAAATGGTAAACAATGATCTTAAAATCAAATCAGTTTTGCCTGCCAGTAATCACAATACACAGATGAAAAGATGGTGGTGAATTGATCCCTTGGCAATCCTGCATTAAACACTGGAAATATCCACCTATAACAGAAGAGTAGCGTTCCTATGTTCAACTTATTTGTGTGGAGAATGCAAAAGAAGATAAATTTGACCAGATTCGGGTGCCATTCTTGGCATGCCTATGCACATACCCATGGTGCTATGAATGGTACCTGCATTCTGTGGGTTCAAATTCTAGCTCTGTTCCCCACATGAGCTGTGTGGCCATGAGCAAGTGACTTCCCTCTAAGCTATAGTTGCCTTATTTACAAAATAGGCTTAATATCTACATAGCTCGTGTGGTTGTGAAGATGCGTGAACTTCACAAATAGCCTAGCCCAGTACCTGGCACATAGTGGGCTTTTCACAAATGATAGCTATTATTATTGTTGACCATTGTCACTAGCTAAGCAAGTAAGAGATGACATAGCAACATAGCCAGAGCTAAACGTTAATGCCAAGAGAAGGAAAGGCAGTCATCTCCTGCAATGAAACGAGCCAGAAAAAGTTTCTTGGAAGTGGTAAGCCACAGAGGAAGTCGTGATGCTGATAGAGAGGGACAGGAAGGCTGTCTAGGTGAGAGAATGGTGCCAGCAAAAGCTCAGAGGCCGAAACAAGAATCTGGGTATAAGAAACCTGCAGAGCGCTTGAGGAAAAAGGGGTTGAACTTGCACATCTTGGTTGTTTCTGCTTCACATGAAAGGAATAGACAGAGGCACAGCAAAGGAGTTGTGTGTGATGAAAGTGTGTAGCAGAAAGTTATCTGCAGTGGACTAGAACATGGGGACATTGGCCCGGGTAGACTTGTTGTTGAGTATACAGTGATGAGGGCCAGAATCAGGGCGATAAATATGGAAATGAAGAAATATCAAATATGAGAATTTTTATAGAGGAAGAACTAGCAAACCTTTTGGGAGAAGGAAAAACTCAAAGATAATTCCAAAGAATATAAATCTTAGGAGCTGGAAGGAAGGTCTCTGCATTGTCCCAGATGGGAAATCTGGGAAGGATTTCATTCTTTGGTGGTCAGAGAAAATGCCCAGAGTCTCTCTAGCCCCAATTCTGTTAGCCCAGCTCCTGTACTCTGGCCTGACCTGTTCTCTGGTCCTCCTATATGTCGGTTTCCTTGCATGCTGTGAGGTACTTAAAGGCAGAAACCATGTCTGCTTATTTGTTACCATTATTTTTCCCATCCCCAGTACAGACACTTAAACCTGGTTGGTGCTTAATAAATATTTGTTGGATGAAGACATTCTGTAGACTGTCAGGAGGACCTGAGGTCAGATGATACAGCATTGGACAGAATAAAAGGTGTCTTCCTTTAATAAGATTTGTCTTCCTTTAATATCAGACTTAAAAGGAATGTACACAGTAAAGCTTAGTTAGGTAACTTTAATAACCTAAAATAAATTTACACGAATTTATCCTAACCTTCTTTAACTTACATTTTTGTCTGTATTATTTCTGTTGGAATATTATATTCTATCTGCTTTCTTTTCTTTGTTTTCTTTTCTCTCCTTCTTTCTCTTCTTCTTTCTCTTTCTTTCTTTCATCTTAAGAGAGAGAAGTACTTAAGTATTTCTTTATATTTGTACTAAGTTTATCTTTTCACACTTCAAGATGAACCTTCCAATCCTGTTGTTCTGAGATTTGGTAAATCCTTGTTCACCCTTCAAGACTTTGTAAAATCGGATCATTTATGGGAATAGTGAAAGTCAGGATTTATGGTCCAGCCAGCTTTAATGGGAAAGTCAGGGTGTGTACAGGAAACAGATGGCCAGAACCAGAAATCAAGGGCCGTCGAAAATTGTGGTTTTGATCTGAAGACAAAGAGCATGTGAGACCCTGGGCAAGTCCCTTCCTTTAGCTCTAGACCTTGGCTTCCTCCTCTAAAACAGGACTGTGTGTGTTTCCTCTGGGGGATTGGTAGTCATTTTTAATTTCCTTTTGGCTTTGATATTGTCTAATTTTCTTACAAAGATCATATATACACATTTTTAAAACTAAATAAAAATTAAGGCAACTTTCCATTTTGGAAAAAAATAATAATTTTATGGCCCTAGGCAGTATAGCTGGGGCTAGACTGAAAATGAACTAACTTTCCTTTGGATTTAGGGAACTAAAGGAAAGAATTCATCTTAGATCTTGAGTGGTAGTGGAGCAAATTAGCCAAAATACAGTGGCCCAAGGCTCAGAGCTGCAGATTCATTCATTCACTCTTCAACACATTTTTATTGGGCATCTTTTCTGCTGCAAGCTCTATTTCAGGCACTGAGGATAGACCAACAGAATGACAGGATTAGAAACAGTGTGCTTAATGCTTTTTAATGTATATAAAACCAAGCAATAATCAAAAAATGACACTTTTATATCCTCAAACATATGTACTCTGATATTAGTTCATACTTATTAAAGATGACTCACGCCTTCTGTACACCAAACCCCTGCAGAGGGGGAGGGGCACTGCAGAAAAGAGAAAGTCCATTGCCTTTCCGTACCCACAAAGACTTTCCAAATAAAAATGCCCTGTTATTTCAATTAATTATTATTGAGTTTGATTAGCAGGTACAGTTCTATTTTGCAATGATAAATAATTTAAAACTTGTACTTTCACCAGATGTTATAACCACACATTCAAATAAACGAGATTTTTACACATTTATTCCTCAGAAGTAGATCTTTTCAAAGACTACTTAAAAAGCTAATTGCAGGCTTTGTGCCATGCTGGCTTTCAGGGGCTCGGGCCTGGCATTTACTCACCACATCATAGCTGTCGTCCACATACCTCATTCTGAGAGTTTTAGTCTAGTCCATTCCAAATAACCTAGACTGCAAGCCTGGCTAATCAAAGTCATGCTTCCCCCCTTTGTCTTGCCCCTTATCCTGTGCAACTTTTTTATGCTGATCGCCTTTTCCTTGTCCTTCATTTTGCTTTCCCACTCCAAGATCTTGAGATGAGGTCTTTAGATTTGGCAAAAAGGAGGTCCTTTATTCAGTCATTTAAAAAAATATATTTTTGAGTACCTACAAAATACAAGATGCTATCCTGAACCATAGAGATCAATGGTCAACAATAGAGATAGTGTCCCTGTAATCATGAAGCTCATATCCTAGGTGGATTAGTAACTTCAGAGCAATCTTGATCAAAAGTGGAAGAAAAACATTTCAGTAGGTAGGGTGGAATATGCAGGTAAAAATCCTTAACGTGTGGCTTCTAAGCAGACGACACTATTAAACTTTATTTTTTTTGTTGTTGTTTTGTTGTTGTTGTTGTTTTATGAGACAGAGTCTTGCTTTGTTGCCCAAGCTAGAGTGAGTGCCGTGGCATCAGCCTAGCTCACAGCAACCTCAAACTCCTAGGCTCAAGCAATCCTGCTGCCTCAGCCTCCTGAGTAGCTGGGACTACAGGCATGCGCCACCATGCTCGGCTAATTTTTTTCTATATATATTAGTTGGCCAATTAATTTCTTTCTATTTGTAGTAGAGACGGGGTCTTGCTCTTGCTCAGGCTGGTTTCCAACTCCTGACCTTGAGCAATCCACCCACCTCGGCCTCCCAGAGAGCTAGGATTACAGGCATGAGCCACCGTGCCTGGCCTAAACTTTATTTTTGAATCAATTACCTGTTTGAGCAGATAAATAAAAATTTAGTTTTGCTGTTCACCATTTTCCACCAATCCCATGGGAATAAAAAATTAATAGGTATATTCTGCTTGCCTTTCTGTTTCTGTCTTATTCCAAGCCCTCTCATTCTGCCTTCATCTCTCTATCCTCAGTGCACCTTCGTGTATCTTCCCCTGGTCCATGTACATCTTCATGCACACATGGTTTGTTTGTTTCCGTATCTCTTCCCATCTGCACCCCTAATCTATATACTTTGGATTATGTATGCATGTACTATTGTATCATTAGGAAATGCATACTTTTGGCAAGGAAAGGGAAGACTTTTTTTTTTTTTTTTTGAGACAGAGTCTCACATTGTTGCCCAGGCTAGAGTGAGTGCCGTGGAGTCAGCCTAGCTCACAGCAACCTCAAACTCCTGGGCTCAAGCGATCCTCCTGCCTCAGCCTCCCGAGTAGCTGGGACTACAGGCATGCGCCACCATGCCTGGTATATTAGTTGGCCAATTAATTTCTTTCTATTTATAGTAGAGACAGGGTCTTGCTCTTGCTCAGGTTAGTTTCAAACTC